CATGCGGGCCGGTAAAAATAAGGTCTCGGCTGAATGCGAGAAACTAACTGTCATGCTTATTGCTGTACTCGATGTCGCCTTACCTGACTACTTATCGTACCTGCTAGTTCCGTGTCCATGTGCGGCGCTGACTAACCGGTAACTAAATCCCGCCTGATCTGTCGTACTCGTAACTGTACGCCCTATCGCTTATCTCCGCTACTTATGATAAACACCGCGCCAGTATTTACGCGAACCGATGAATACGAGGCCTAAACTATGCCCACACAACTAGTCCAACGGCGAATGACAGATCTCATAGTCACAAGTGTACGTGATATCAACTACCTCGGTCACTTTTTGAAACGGCTAGGCGAGTGCCTATATGCGACACTGATTATTGGGCCATAACTATGCGCAGTGTCCTAAGCTAACTGCCAACGATTACCTATCATACCCATAACTATACGCGCTCTTACTTATGTCTGCTACCTACAGTAAACACCAGGCCAGTATCTACGCGGGCCAATAAAAACGACGCTCCAACTATGCGTGGTATCTTAATCTAACGGCCGACGACGGCCCGTCGTACTCGCAGCTGTCGTCGACATCATCTACCTTAGCTATTTGGCGTAATTGCAAGGCATGTGTCTATGTGAACCGCTGAGTATGAGGCTTCAAATATGCTCAGTAGCCCAGTTTATTGGCCAGTGACGGCCCGTCATACTCGTAACTTTTCTCCACGTCACCTCCTGAGACTACCTATAGTAACTGATTATAATCCCCAACCATACATAACAGACTAATCCAAGGACCAATGATGGTCCATACGCCGTCCACCTGCCAACACCCTGCGCCTGAAAACTACACAATTACCTTTGTATCATCCGTTATGTTGACAATGAAATTCCCCACGTTTATTATCCCCCCATTTGTAACCACCGCCCCACTCTTGTGTTTAGTGTGTATATATGAACTGACGTTTGTTTGTCCTTACCACTTCACCCATTTGGCCTTGAGGTCATCCGGCCATTTGTATCTGACTTTGCACG